GGCGCGTCGACGGGCACGTTGGAGACGCGGGGGAGGCGCGCGAGGATCGCCGAGCCGAACCGCTCGTACCGCTGCACCTTAATTAATATTTAATTAATAATGAATTAGTGAATTAATTAAGCCGAACCGCTCGTACCGCTGCACCTCGACTCCGCCGCAGCCAGGCAGCAGCTGCACCCACAGCCGCGCGTCTCGCGGCAGCGGCAGCACGACCCGCTGCAGCGGCTGCCCCTCGACGCCAACGTACAGCGACCGCGTCGGCGCGCCCTTGGCGCCCTCCTTGCCGAGGTCGACGCAGACCGTCACCACCACCGCCGCCGCACCCGCACCCGCCTCCTCCCCCGCCGCCGCACCCGCCACCACCGCCGGCGCCGGCAGAGTGACGACAGGAAAGCCCCACTGGCGCGGGTCCGCGGCGGCAAAGATGGCGCGCGAGGACGGGTTCCAGCCCCAGGCACGCGGCGCCGCGCCGCTCCCCGCCTCCACGCCCGCCGCGCTGCCGCGCCGCCGCCGCCCGCCCTCGGCAGCTGCAGCTGCAGCAGCGCCAGGCGCGGCGGCGGCGGAGGCAGCCTCGATCGCCTGGCCGCGCGAGAGGCGGGTCTAGGAAAGGACTAGGAAAGGTCTAGGAAAGGTCTAGGAAAGGACTAGGAAAGGTCTAGGAAAGGTCTAGGAAAGGTCTAGGAAAGGTCTAGGAAAGGTCTAGGAGAGGTCTAGGAGAGGTCTAGGAAAGGTCTAGTCTCCGCCTGGTCGCGCGAGAGCTTGCCGTCCCAGACGGCGGTCATGTCGGGCGTGCCGGCGGGCAGCGGCGCGTAGCTCGGCGCTCCGAGGCTATACGCCGACGTACCGTCCAGGTGCACGCCGCTCACGACGCCCGCCCCACCAGCCGCCGTCGGAGCCAGAGGCGCGCGGCTGGCGGCTGGGAGGCGCTTGGTCGGCGCTCCGTCGGCAACGACGCCGATGCACACGCCCCACCCCGCCGGCGCCTCGCCTCCCTCCTCCGGAGGCGCGCGCTGGACTGCGAGCGTCCAGCGGTGGAAGCCGCCGCCGAGCGGCTCAGAAGAGTAGGCAAAGGCGCACTCCGTACCGGAGGTGCGCGCCGTGGCGGTGCGCCCGTCATCGCCGATCTGGCAGGTGGTGGAGGTGCCAAAGGTGGCCATGGCGAGCGGGCGGGTGCGCGAACGGGAGCGTGTGGCGTCGAGCAGCAGCTTGGCGACGTCCCGCGAGAGCTGCGCCCGAGAGCCGCTGGAGCGCTTGGAACGTCGCCACAAAAATTGATGGTTTTGCGTTTCTTGGCATTACCGGCCCTGAGGTGGCATGAAGGTACATACATACATGAAGGTTGCAGCGAGAATCGGCGAGAGACTGCGAAAAGAGATAGGAAGAGGCAGACTCCCTAGGGTGGGCGACGGCTAGCGCATCACACTCCTCTCCTTAAAATCCCTGTGTGGTGGCGGCGTGCCGTCCTCCCATCCCTCCCTTGGGTTGTCTGTTTTCTTTCTTTCTTTTCGGCCCTGGATGTGAGGTTGGCCGGTAAGATTGCTACAGGTGTGTGTCTTGTGAGCCTGTTTGTGTCTGTGTGTCGCTCGTGCGTGTCGTCATCATCTGTCCAGCGTCCACCCATACCGCGTTGGTGTCCAGTCCGAGCCTGGCTGTTCTTCACCTTTCTACCTACCTACCTACCTGAGGTTGCCAACTGCACTCCAAGTGCTCCAAGTGGGACATCCAAACAAATACACTTTACCATATTGCACAGAACTAATACCATATGACTCCATATTGACCATTCTACGGTTCCATGCAGATTTTTATGGCGGCCGATCTCCGATCATATCGGACCTCTCTGAGCAGGCACCGCAGGCCACCGCCTAGAGCACGGTCGCTCACCTATGGCTATTGGTATATTGCCCGTCGATCCGATTCCAACCGACGGTCGAGTTCAGAGGCACCGACGACGGTCCGCACTAGAGGTCCTCAGGCCGAGACTCAGGCAGAGGTCCTCATGGGACGGCCTCGGCACGAGAGAGGCTCTCACCTCTCTCTTGAAGTGGCAAGAGGAGCAACTATTTGTCGGCTCGCTGAGGCCGCGCTGGCACATTTTCACAGCGAGAGAGTTTGAGCGGTGTGGGTCCTCTCCGATCGTGTGCATCAGGCACTGAACAAGACTGAGGTCCTCAGGCGAAGGTCCTCACGAAAGGTCCTCAGAGACGGTCTCTCCTCTCCCATCAAGCAAGTGGCCGTCAGACTGACCGAGGCTGCTATCAATGTGGCAGCGCTAGGCCGCTGCACGCGCGGTGGGACACAGCGGAGGGTGACAGGGTGACCAGCCTCAGCGTGACGCACACCAAAACAGAGTAACCCACAATTAAGCGGGATGTGGACGGAAGGTGTATTTATTAAGGGTCGTATTCATTTTTGTGCAGGTCGGCCATGCGCGTCACTGACAATGAATGTGCACATTCACACACACACATAGACACAGGTCCTCAGCGCGAGGAGAGACGTCACTCCTAGGTTTTTTTACGTATTTGGTTTTGGGATTAATGACGTTACTGTGTGGTGGTGGTACCTGCGCTCCGAATTCGGCGACGCCGCACGAATGTTCCGACGCACCAGAATGATCAATTGTACGAGAACACTACAGGTGCGTTGTGAACAGTGTATGTGTGTGTGCAGTGTCGTCATCACACTAGTGACTAGAAAAATTACCTCAATTTTGGATACCTCAAAGCACAGATCCCATTGAATGTGTGAGTGTGTGCTTGTGGTGCACCCCGAGAAATCGAGAACGTGTGCTGTGAATAGTGACAGTTACGGCAGCAAAGCGTGAATACCGCAAAGTATTCTTGTATTGTGCACCTAGCACACACATGCCATATAACTCCACATTGTTGATCGTTTTCTGGTTCCATGCAGATTTTTATCAATGGCGGCCGCATATCGGACCAGAGCAGCACCGCCTACTGCTGGTCGCTCACCCATGGCTATTGGTTTGCCCCTCGATCCGATTCCACATCGACGGACGGTCGAGTTCAGGCACCGACACCGGTCCGCACTAGAGGTCCTCAGGCCGAGACTCAGGCAGAGGTCCTCATGGGAGGTCCTCAGCACGAAAGAGGCTCCCACCTCTCTCTGAAGTGGCAAGAGGAGCAATTATTTGTCGGATCGCCGAGGCCGCTCCTGGCACATTTTCACAGCTCGAGAGTGTGAGCGGTGTGGGTCCTCTCCCACGCCGATCGTTGTGCACCCCGGCACTACAAGGTCCTCATTGACAAGAGGTCCTCAGGCGGACGGGGAGGGAGACTGAGGTCCTCAGGCGAAGGTCCTCACGAAAGGTCCTCATCACGAGAGACGGTCTCTCCGCTCAGCAAGTGGCTGTCGGACTGACTGAGGCTGCCATGTGGCAGCGCTAGGCCGCTGCACGGCGCGGTGGTACGCAGCGGAGGGTGACCAGCCTCACAGCGTGACACACACCCAAACAGAGTAACCCTCAAACAATCGGGATGAGGACGGTACGATGTATTGAGATGTATGTGCGGAAGATGTATGTGCGAGGTGTCCGAAGATGTATGTGCGGTGTCCTTGCAGCCCATGTTTTGTTGTTTTGTTGTTTGAGACACACACATATCTAGATATCTCGGTTCCACTAATCTTCTAGGAAGGTTGGAGAAGGGTCGCGCGTTGGACGCTATGATGACAACACGCCCCTGACGGCAAGGAGCCGAACCCACACATCGTCATATCACAGACGGCCACGTGCAGCACACCTATGCTGCCGGCCGACACCAGCAACACATCGCTCTGGAGACCACGCCGCGCCTTCGCGCCGCTGCTTCCGGACCGGCGGCCGCTGGCTGCCGGCTGCTCTCGCGTCTACATCGACCTCGGGTGCAACGACGGGCTCAACCTGCGCCGGCTGTTCATGCCAGCGGTGCACCGGTACGGGCAGAGCCTGTTTCGCGAGCTGGATGCCGCCGTGGCTGGCGGGCAGTCCAACCGCTCGGACATCTGCGCCATCGGCTTCGAGCCGGTTCCGGCCAACGAGGAGTCCATCCGCAAGCTGGTCGCCTCCCTCCGCGCCGGCGGCCAGGCGCGCGCTCAGCTGCTGGCCGTTTTTCCCGCTGCCGTCCACGCCACCAACGGACTGGCGACGTTTTACCTCGACCAAAACGGCCCGGGCAGCGGCGGAGCAAAGTACCACAACTGGGGATCGTCCTTGCTTATGTGGGAGGCAGGGATGGAGCGTCGGCCACTCCGCGTTCCGCAGGTCGGCCTGACGTACCTCCTGGAGCGCCTGCACGGCGTGGACGCCGACGCCGAGGCCGCACGCGTGCTGACCGTGATGAAGATGGACATCGAGGGCGCCGAGTACGACGCGCTGCCGGCGGCGTGGCGCGCCGTCTGCGCGCGCGTCGACCGCCTCTTCCTAGAGACGCACGACCGCTTCTTCTCGGAGCGCTGGCACGGCCACCGCGCCGAAATGGGCTCGGGCGAGGGCCGCGTCGCTCGGCTGCACGAGCTGCTGCGCCGCATGGACGATGAGCGCCGCGCGGGCCGATGCCGCACGCGCTGGACCTTGCTCGGGGCCCGCGAGGGGCGCAGGGCAAGGTGACTCCCGCCACGTGCTCCGCAAGCCGCGGCCGATTTAGGTCGAGAGCTGTGCGGGGTGCGTTGGCATTTTTCAACCGCGTGACAGATTGAAAAAATGAAGAATTTAACCCATCGGGCCGGTCCGTGGGCGTGTCACGAGTGCGAGCCGCTCGCGCGGTTCCACTAGAGTACAACGGACTACGACTACGCCCCTGCTTCATGCGCGTTGCGCGGGTACTTGGGGGATGGGGCTACTGTAGGGGCGCGCGGCAGCGTGGCGGAAGCACGCACACGCAACTGCCTCCCCAACTGTTAACTGTAGTGCGCGTCGGGCTGCCGCGTGCTAGCCCGTGTGGGTGGAGAAGTTGGGCTACACTCCCCTTCCCGCTTCTCTGAAAGTTCCCTCTGCCGCATCACGCCGCCCGCCCTGCGCTGGCGAGGGAGAGGATCAGCGACGCGAGAGCGCCGCGCAGCGCGCCGGCCTCCGCCTGGGAAAGGGCTTCCCCGCCCAGCTGCGCTTGCAGCAGCCGCTCCGCAACCTCGCGGTCGTGCTCGAGCCACGGCGCCTCGTGCTGAGGCTGTCTGCCGTGCGCGGAGGGCGAAGAAGCCGCCGACGGCGTCGCGACCGCTGCCGACCCCGGCACTGCTGCAGACCGCCACGGAGCGGCAGGAGGAGGAGGAGGAGGCGAAGGAGGAGGCGGAGGAGGCGGAGGCGGAGGAAGCGGAGGAGGAGGAGAAAGGGGTGGTGGAGGAGGTGGTGGAGGAGGTGGATGGGGCGGCGGTGGCGGAGGCTGGAACGGCGGGGGCGGCGGCGTTGGCGACGGCAGCGGTGGCGACGGCAGCGGTGGCGACGGCAGCGATGGCGACGGCGGCGCGGGCGGCGGCGGCGCGGGCAACGGCGAAGAGAGCGGCGGTGACGCTGGCAATGACAGGGCTGCGCCGGCGACTAGTGCCTTCGCCATGAGCAGCTGCGGCGCCGATGGCGGCGAAGCGCCGTCTGCGCCGCCGACAAAGTCGTCTCCCGTGAAGTGCGCCCCGAGGCTGCTATGCGCATCGAGCTCGACGTACCCCATCGCCTCATACAGCCGCCGCGCTGCGGCGTTGTCGACGTCGACGTGCAGAACCATCGCCTCCGCCCCCTCATCCACGCCGCGCTGCTCGGCACTCTGCACGAGGCGGCGGCCGAGCCCCTGCCGCCGCGCCTCGTCGCGCACACACACGTTCACCACGTACGAGGCCGTGCCCCACGCGCCGACGTCCTCGACGAGCAGGTCGGCCGAGCCCATCACCCGCTCGCCGACGAGAGCCACGAGCACGGACGTCTTGCGCTTCATCGCGTCGACGAAGGCGCGGCTCTGCAGCTGCCGCTGCCGCGACGACGTGAGCTCTGGCCGGAAGACCACGGTCCGCATCAAGCCGATCGAGCGGAGCTGGTCAGCAGTCGCGACCTCCACGCGGGCGCCCTGCAGCGCCGAAGCTGCGACGGCCAGCAGGAAATGCATGGCAAAACGCACGCTTTCTTTTGCGAGTTCTTTTTCGTTGAATTCTTTTGCGAAAAAAATTAATGCGCCAGGAGAGCTTCGGGATGGTGGAGAGCTTCGCATCGCACCAAACTACAACCCACATATCTGTATATCTTACCGCACATCCCGATACATTGTTTGGAGCGTTACTCTGTTTGGGTGTGTGTGTCACGCGCTGAGGCTGGTCACCGTCCGCTGCGTCCCACCGCGCGTGCAGCGGCCTAGCGCTGCCACATAGCAGCCTCAGTCAGTTTGACAGCCACTTGCTTGATGAGAGAGGAGAGACCGTCTCTCGTGCTGAGTGGACCTTTCGTGAGGACCTTCGCCTGAGGACCTCTTGTCAATGTGGACCTGTCGCACGGTGCCTGGTGCACACGATCGGAGATAGGACCGACACCGCTCACACTCTCGCTGAAAATGTGCCAGAGGCCTCAGCGAGCCGACAAGTAATTGATCCTCTTGTGCCACTTCAAGAGAGAGGTGAGAGCCTCTCTCGTCTCTCGTGCTGAGTGAGGACCTCTCCAATGAGGACCTCTTTCCGAGTCTCCGGTCGGCCTGAGGACCTCTAGTGCGGACCTTTGTTGGTGCGCCTGCACTCTCGACCGTCGATGTGGAATCGGATCGACGGGCAAACCAACAGCCATAGGTGAGGGACCGAGCCTAGCCCCGTGCAGCATGCTTGGGGAAGAATTTAAACAACATGGGAAAAGAATTTTACTGACAAGAAAGGCGGTCGCACGACACGATTCGCGACAGAAGAAGAAGCGACAAGGGAAAGAACGACGAGAGTGTGACGACCGCGAGGTGGCATGAAGCTTGAAGGTTGCAGCGAGAATCGGCGAGAGACTGCGAAGAGAGATAGGAAGAGGCGGACGCCCAAGGGTGGGCGACGGCTAGCGCACCACACCCCTCTCCTTAAAATCCCTGTGTGGTGGCGGCGTGCCGTCCTCCCATCCCTCCCTTGGGTTGTCCGTTTTCTTTCTTTACGACACGATTCACGCGACAGGCGAGGCGCGGGCGACGGCTTCCTCAGAAGCCGTCGCCCGCACCACAGGAGCAGTCACACCACTGGGAAAAGAATTTTAGCACGCAAGGCGGTCCACAACACGATTCACGCGAGGCAAGGAGGAGACGCGGAGAACTGAGAGACTGGGACGACTGGAAACAAGAAGACAGCGAGCCACCACAGGCGTCGTTGGCACACATGCTGAGCGGCAGCTGCGCTTTGGAAATAAGGAAGACGCGCGTCACTTCATGCGGAAGCTCGACAAACACACGGCGAGGGCGACAGCAAGAGTTGAACGGGAGGCGCCGGACTCAAAAGACACCGCCGCATTCTGAGACGAGCGAGGGCAGCCTCCTTAAAGGCGAAAGGGTCTAGATTTGGAGCGCTCGCCGAAGAGGAGTACGACAAAATAGCGCCCGTGATTGCATGCACGCTGCCCGCACTCACGGACCCCATACCAGAAAGAAAGAAAAGGGAGCTCGCGGGAGAGGTGACGAGTGAGCTACAGGTAGTGGGGAAGGCAGCCTCGACTGCCATACAGACATGGATGCGAAACAACGACAAGACCAAGGCACGGGCGGAGGAACGAGAGAAGAACATAGGGTGGATAAAGCGCCTGTTCACGGCATGGAGGGTGAGCCAAGCCGAACGTACCGAGAAGATCGCACCAAAATAAAGACGGAGCACTTGGAGACACTTTCTTGCCTTAGATACTGCGCTCTTTCGAAAGTGCAGAAATCGCGTTGATATCAGACACCTCCTTTGGGGGGCTACCATCTGCAGCACGCAGCAGTTGGACAACCCTCCCAAAAGAGGTTGGGACATGAGACAGTGAGCAGGGCGCTGGAAGCGGCGGGTTCTTGACGATTAAAGGGAGAGTGCAGAGGTCCTCACATCGAAAGTCGAGAGAGTGACAGGTCCTCAAAAGAGGTCCTCACACTCAGGCGCGGTAGGTCCTCACAAAGGTCCTCAGAGCGCGAGAGACGGCACCGCGCCTCCTCGGGTCGTTCGGTTGGCAGTCTGTGTGGAAGCGCCAGTTCTGTGTTGGAGGCGAGGGCGCGCGCGCCTTTGGCGCCTCTTGTGAGGACCCTTTTTATTGTGAGGACCTCACTCACTGTCGAGAGGACCCTCTGTCCCTCTCGTGAGGACCTCTTATGAGGACCTCCGTGTCGTGGGGCGCACCTTAATACAGAAGCTGCTCGACAGGCTGCGGGCATCGCTGCGGCAAAAGTGCCCGTCCCCTGTTAGGGTGCCCACAGGACCCAAAAGAAAATAGCTTTCCCGCTCAAAAAGGGACGCACGAGGCAAATCTGATGTTGGATTGTTCCAATAGGAGCGGGTTACGACAACTTTACCGAGCTGTTTCTTTATAGGTATCTGCAAGCTGCGTATTCTTGTATTATCGTCGAGTAGGGTATTGCGTGGGGGCGGTACGAGGGAGGCGGCGAACCAGCTGAGCATCGCATGCTCAGCATCTGAACGAGGTCACATGGACAACCAAGAATTGGCACGGCCTGCAAATGCAGCGTTTGTCCGTCGTCCTCCACACCGCCGTGGCGTGGCAGACGGTGAACGAGCTAGCATGCGGTGAGAGCGGCGTTGTGCACGGTGCGGAGTCGCTTAGGCGGCTCCGGTGGTGTGCCGGTGTGTGTGCCAGTCCGCGCCAGTCTGCGTCGTTGGTTAGGTTAAGCGTGCCAGCCTTTCGTGTAATTTCTTTTCTCGCCAATTTTCTCATTTGGGCAGCCACTGCGGGACGCGGCCACGAAAGGTGTGCAGACCCCAGTTCCGGCGGACGCAGCGAGCGTCGGGACTCCGTCCCAGCAGACGAAGTCTTCCTCGTGGGCTCCACGGCCCGGATCGCGAGCTCGATCGATACGCGACGCGCTCGGCCTCCGCTGGCGGCTGCCGCAAGAGCGGCTGGCTCACGGCAGCGTCTCGCCGGTTGCCGGATAGGAGAGTACAGAACGTCTGGAGTGTAACTGTGTACGTGAGATCGGTTTTGATAACAAGCACGGTCGATCCGTCAAAGCGATACACTCGTTCCTATCTCGCTGGGGGGCTGGCACGGAGCTCTGTGCCGACAAACAGGAAGAGCCGAGCGGCAAGAAGGGCTCGATGGGGAGCGAGAACCGTCAGAAGAGCTTGAGGTGTAACCTGAAGTCCGTCGTGACGCTCTTGTTTCCCCCCAGGTTTGACCGCGCAGCTTCCAAAACTCGACGATATCTTCCGGAAAGACTGAACGTCCCGCAGAGCGGCAGCATGAGAGGCGCAGAGAGGCTGCGAGTGCTCGACGAGTCTTGCGAGCTGCGCGTTCAAACCTGGGGGGAACCGACCGCATCAAGGCGGACTTCCGAAACCTGGGTGAGCACCTCTGACGGTTCTCGCTCCCCATCGAGCCCTTCTTGCCGCTCGGCTCTTCCTGTTTGTCGGCACAGAGCTCCGTGCCAGCCCTCCAGCGAGATAGCGAACGAGTGTATCGCTTTGACGGATCGACCGTGCTTGTTATCAAAACCGATCTCACGTACACAGTTACACTCCAGACGTTCTGTACTCTCCTATCCGGCAACCGGCGAGACGCTGCCGTGAGCCAGCCGCTCTTGCGGCAGCCGCCAGCGGAGGCCGAGCGCGTCGCGTGAGTTGAAATCGATGTGGCGAGTCGACCGCCAGTCCGTACGATGGCACTGCGACCGCGGCGGCTGCCGGCGAGGGCAGCAGCGGCGCGCGCGAGGCGGCAGCGTAATCGGGTCCGAAGTCCGGACCCGATTTGGGGTCTACACGCCTTCTATCCGAGTGGGGGAATTCTTAAGATACAAGCCTCTCTCACAGCACACTGGCACGACAAGGGCGCAGACTGGCGCGGACTGGCACACACACAGGCTCACCACCGGAGCCGCCTAAGCGACTCCGTTAAGAACGGCAATGCACTCCGCACCATGCACAATGCCGCTCTCTCTCCCCGCACGCTAGCTCGTTCACCGTCTGCCACGCCACGGCGGTGTGGAGGACGACAGACAAGCGCTGCATCTGCAGCCCGTGCCAGTTCTTGGTGGTCCATGTGACCTCGTCCAGGTGCTGAGCGTGCGAAAGTTTGTTGCTCAGCTGGTTCGCCGCCTCCCTCATGGTGCCTCGACCATTAGTCTCAGCTTGACCCGGCATGCCCCCCCTTCACCCTGAGGCGCTACACAGAGGAGTGCGACTGTGCTCACCGCGCAGCCGTTTGCCGCCACCCCTCGGACAGATTCGAGCGTCTCGGGGAGCTCGCACTCACCTTCGCTGGAAAAGAATCCTGAAAAGAAAGAAGGAAAGAAAACAGACAACCCAAGGGAGGGATGGGAGGACGGCACGCCGCCACCACACAGGGATTTTAAGGAGAGGTGTGTGATGCGCTAGCCGTCGCCCACCCTAGGGAGTCTGCCTCTTCCTATCTCTCTCGCAGTCTCTCGCCGCTTCTCGCAAGAATCCTGAGGCGAGCCAAAATCAGCGGATCGAAAAATTCTTTCGGCGCGATGGAGGCGAACCGTCAGCCCGCGCCCGCGCCGGCGCCGGCGGCCAGCGAGGAGGGCGCGGCGGCGGTCCCGGCCGAGGCTGAGCTGGCGCCTGACACCGGCGTCGAGCTCTCCTGGCGCGAGCGCGAGCGCGCGCGCAAGGCGGCGCTCAAGACAATCCAGGCACGCGAGAAGGCGGAGCTGTCGGACGCGTCCAAGGCGACGGCCAAGGAGCGGCTCGCCTACCTCATGCGGCAGACGGACGTCTTCTCTCACTTCATTAAGTCGCCGGACGACGCCGCCGCCTCCTCGAGCTCCTCCAAAGGCGGCGGCGGCGGCGGCGGCGGCCGCAAGGGCAAGGGCCGCATGACGGAGAAGCAAGAAGACGAGCTGATGGCGAGGCAGGAGGCGGAGGGGGGAGGGTCGGCGCAGGGCACCCGCCTCACCGCGCAGCCAAAGTGCGTGAGCGGAGGAGCCATGCGTACGTACCAGCTGGAGGGTCTCAACTGGCTGATCAAGCTGTTCGAGCACGGCATCAACGGCATCCTCGCCGACGAGATGGGGCTCGGCAAGACGCTGCAGACCATCTCTCTGCTGGGGTACCTGAAGGAGGCGCGCGGCATCTCGGGGCCGCACCTGGTCATCGTGCCAAAGGCGGTACTCACAAACTGGCACCGCGAGCTGGCGCGGTGGTGCCCGGCGCTGCGTGCAATCAAGTTCAGCGGCGACAAGGCGGCGCGTGCGGAGTGCAAGAGCGAGTACCTGGAGCAGTCGGGCGCGTTCGACGTGTGCGTGACCACGTATGAAACGGCGATCACCGAGAAGGCGGCGCTGTCCAAGCTAGTGTGGCGCCACCTGATCATCGACGAGGCGCACCGGATCAAGAACGAGCAGGGCAAGCTGGCGCAGGTGGTGCGCCTCTTCACGGCGCACTCGCGGCTGCTCATCACCGGCACGCCGCTCCAAAACAACTTGCACGAGCTCTGGGCGATGCTCAACTTTCTGCTGCCCGACATCTTTTCGTCGTCGGAGCAATTTGACGAGTGGTTCAACCCTGAGGACAAGGGCGACGGTGGCAGCGGCGAGGACGTGCTCCACCAGCTGCACAAGCTGCTGCGCCCCTTCCTGCTGCGCCGGCTAAAGAAGGAGGTGGAGAAGGACCTCCCGCCCAAGCGCGAGATCAAGCTGCTGATTGGCATGTCGCAGCTGCAGCGCACCTGGTACCAAAACATCCTCACCAAGAACATCGACGTGCTCAACGCGATGCAGGGCCACAACCGCGGCCGCATGCACAACATCCTCATGCAGCTGCGCAAGTGCGCCAACCACCCGTACCTGTTCGACGGCGCGGAGGAGCCGCCGTTCGTCAACGACCAGCGCCTCATCCTGCACAGCGGGAAGATGGTGCTCCTCGACAAGCTGCTCGGCCGGCTCAAGAAGCGCGGCCACCGCGTGCTCCTCTTCTCGCAGATGACGCGCATGCTCGACATCCTCGAGGACTACTGCGGCTACCGCGCCTGGGAGTACTGCCGGATCGACGGCTCCACCAGCGGCGACGACCGCGACGCGGCGATGGAGGCGTACAACGCGCCGGGCTCGAGCAAGTTTCTCTTCATGCTCTCGACGCGCGCGGGCGGGCTCGGGATCAATCTCGCCACCGCCGACACAGTCATCCTCTTCGACAGCGACTGGAACCCGCAGATGGACCTGCAGGCGATGGACCGCGCGCACCGGATCGGCCAGACGCGGGAGGTCATCGTCTACCGGTTCATGATCGAGGGCTCGGTCGAGGAGAAGATTATCGAGCGCGCCCAGCGCAAGCTCTACCTCGACGCCGCCGTCATCCAGCAGGGACGGCTGGCGGACCAGTCCAAGTCGCTCTCCAAGGACGAGATGCTCTCTATGATTCGCTTCGGCGCGGACGCGGTCTTCCACACCAAGGGAGGCGGCGAGCCGACCGACGAGGACATCGAGGCGCTGCTGCTGCGGGGCGAGGAGCGCACGCGCGCGGACGAGTCCAAGCTCAAGGACCAGGCAAACTCGCTGGCCAACTTTACGCTCGACGGGCAGGAGCGGTCGATGTACGAGCTGGACGGGCAGGACTGGTCCAAGGGGTCCGAGGCGGCGACGCAATGGTCTCTCTCGCTGCCGAAGCGGATCACAAAGCAAAACTACGATGAGACGGCCCACCAGCAGCGGGCGGGGCTGCGCATGCCGAAGCAGGTCCAGATCCACGACTTTCAGTTCTTTGACGCGCGGCGGCTGCACGCGCTCCGCGACCAGGAGGTCGCGCACTGGCAGTGGAAGCAGGACAGGGTGCTCGCGCGGCGCGCCCGCGAAGAGGACGAGGAGGGGGACGACGAGCTGACGCGCAAGGCGTCCGCGGCGGGCGTGCCGCCGCTGAGCGACGCGGAGCTCGACGAGCGCGAGGCGCTGCTGCGCGACGGCTTCTCGAGCTGGTCGCGCAAGGACTTCAACGCGTTCGTCAAGGCGTGCGAGCGGCACGGGCGCGACGACGTCGCGTCGATCTCGCTTGAGCTCGGCGATCGGTCGGAGAAAGATGTGGCACTTCCTAGACACTTCCTAGACGCTTCCTAGACACTTCCTAGGCGACCGGTCGGAGAAGGAGGTGGCCCGCTACGCGTCCGTCTTCTTTGCGCGGCAGCGCGAGCTGAAAGGGGCCATGAGAAGGCGAGGAGTGGAGCTTGTTTGCTGATGCGCCCACTCATTCATCAGGTACCGCGAGCTCAAGGACCATGACAAGGTGATGCGGCGGATCACGCAGGGCGAAGCCGACGCCACGTCTGTGTTCGAGCCGTGTTTCGTGTTGCGAGCTGTGTCTCTTCTTCATAGGCGAGGCCAGGAGCATCCTGTGTTCGATCTGCATTCCTTTCGCGAGCTCTGTCGTCCCTTTGCTGTAGGCGAGGCCAAGATCCAGCGCCGGATCGAGATCGCGAGTGCGCTGGCGAAGAAGGTACCGACACACACCCGCGGGTCGGCTCAATTAGCTAATCCTATCTCGGCGATCTCTCGGCGATCTCTCGGCGATCTGACTGGTTAGGTCTCGGCCACCGCCAACCCGTGGGTGGGGTTGCGCTTGCGGTACGACGACGCGCGCGGCGCGCACTTCACGGAGGAGAACGACCGTTTCCTGGCTTGCATGACCGACCAGATCATTGTGTTTGGTTTATCGAGCTTGTACTTTGTTCTGTTTTGTGTTAGGTCTGCATGACGAACCAGATCGGCTACGACCGCTGGGAGGAGCTGCGCGAGGAGGTGCGCGCGTCGTGGCTCTTCCGCTTCGACTGGTGGTTCCGCACGCGGACCGCGCAGGTTCTAGTTAATCATTAATAATTAATAATTATTAATATTACTTATTAATCGACTGGTGGTTCCGCACGCGGACCGCGCAGGAGCTGCAGCAGCGCGTGGACTACCTGTCGCAGCTGATCGAGGCGGAGATCGACGAGATCGAGGCCCCTCCGCGTAACGGCGCCTAGGACCAAGTCCAGAGCTTGTGAGTGGCTCACCAGTCGTTTGCCGGTAGGCCGCCGACGACGCCGACGGCCGGAAGCGCAAGGGCGGCGCCGCGAAGGGGCCGCCGGTCAAGAAGGCGCGACGCTGAGAACGGCGCGTCGGCTGGCGGGCTTTTGCCGCCCTTCATCTCTCGCGCGCGGCGGTTCACCCCGCACCCCGGGAGACCGCCGCGCAGAGACCAGACGCAGAGTCGAGTAAGTGCTAGGTTTTGTGGCATCATGTCAGCTGAATATTGCTGAACACTACCATGCAAAAAGCCGCTCTAGCGGCGCTGCGCGCCACGTGGAGGGCGCGGCGCGTGCGTAGGAGCACGTGCTGCACACGCACGGTGAAGGCCGTCTCACGAGTCGGCGAGCCGAGCCTATTCATAGCAGAGAGTGTGAACGGCGCCTCTTCACACCTCGAGCCGTGAACACCGTCCGGCGTCTTCTCACCGGCCCAAGGGCGCTGCGCGCCGTGCAAACGGCGCCGATCGTGCAGCGCAGCACACGTGCGACACGCCACTTGCACGGCGTCTGATAAAACGGCGCCTCGAGCCCTATCCGAGTCGAAAAGTGTGAGAACCGTCATTTCACACCTCGAAACCGCTAAGTCATTTTTTCGCCGTCAAGCCACTCTAGCGGCGCTGCGCGCCGCAAAGAGAGCGCGGCGCGTGCAGAGGAGCACACGCTGCACACGCACGGTGAAGGCCGTCTCACGAGTCGGCGAGCCAAGCCCTATTCATAGCAAAGAGTGTGAACGGCGCCTCTTCACACCTCGAGCCGTGAACACCGTCCGGCGCCTTCTCACCGCCCCAAGGGCGCTGCGCGCCGTGCTAACGGCGCCGAGCGTGCAGCGCAGCACACGCGCGACACGCCCCTCGCACGGCGTCTGACAAATCGGCGTCTCGAGCCCTATCCGAGTCGAAAGCCGCTAAGTCTTTTTTTCGCCGTCAAACCGCTCTTACTAGCGGCGCTGCGCGCCGCGTAAAGAGCGCGGCGCGTGCAGAGGAACTCACGCTGCGTACGCACCGCGAAGGCCGTCTCTTGAGTCGGCGATCTGCGCCCTATTCACAGAATAAAGTGTGAACGGCGTCTCTTCACACCTCGACACCGTGAACGCCGTCCGGCGCCTTCTCGCCGCCCCAAGGGCGCTCCGCGCCGTGCTGACAGCGCTGAGCGTGCAGCGCAGCACACACGACGCACGCCCCGTGAACGGCGTCTGACAAAACGGCGCCTCGAGCCCTATCCGAGTCGAAAGGTGTGAATATCGTCTCTTCACGCGTCGAAGCCGCTAAGTCTTTTTTTCGCCGTCAAGCCGCTCAGACGGCGCTGCGCGCCGCGTTGAGAGCGCGGAGCGTACAGAGGGGCACACGTTGCGTACGCAGCGCGAAGGCCGTCTCGTGAGTCGGCGAGCCGTAGAAAAGATATGTTTTCTTTTTTCCCCTTGTTTTTTCATCGGATGGCACAACGGCGGAGTAGTTGTCAGTCTCTTGGCACTTCTCGAACATGTTTTTGAGCCATCTCGCCGCCGTTGGCGGAGCTGAGTGCCGCCGCGCACACGGCAAATGTCGCACTCCGTGGGAAACGTCGGCGGCAACGCCGGAAATCTTTTTTGAAATAAAACTCACCAGACAACAACGCCGTGTAAATGCCAACGAACCGTTTTGCGCTCCTAACCAACAGCAACACACACCCCGGCCGGAACTACTCGTCGGCGGATGTGGACCAGAGCGACGGCCCATCCGGCCCTCATGGGATGCCCGGCTTTGGCGCCGGCGACGACGCGTACGGCCACCCCGAGGGCCTCTTAGCGACGGCAACCGTCGTGCCGGTGGCGGTGCCGGACCCGGTGGCGGGCGTCTTACGCTTGCTGCACGGGGTGGTGGTGGCGCCTTGTGGCAGCGGCCCCGGAGGCGCGGCCGGTCGAGCCGGCGCTGACTCCTGACAAATGCGCACAATCTCGCTTTCGTAAGTGTTCATCTTGTCCATCCCGATGCCGTTGACGAGCTTGAGCTCATCGAGGCTCGTCGGGCAGCGGTCCGCAATCTTCTGCA